AGAATAGAAAACAGGTCATTTTTTCTCTGAACTCCTCATCTCCTAGATTTTTCTCATGGTGGACTTCCCTGCATTGTTATGTATCTCACATATATCCTCTGTATTTCCTTCTGTAAAGTAGAAATTATACTTGAAGTGTTAGTTGGACTGTATTATTTTAATGTAAACAGAATACCTTCAATTGCTTCATATCAGGAGATGCATAACATCTACTTATGCTACTACACGGGGATGCTAAAACTGATAACTGGTCTAAAGCAGAGGCAGCCGCATTGTTCCTCCATGTGATGAGCATGAACATGAAATCCATGGGATATGTTGGCATTATGGGAACATTTAGTTCCCTGTCAGCTGTCAACTTTTTCATCTAGTTTAATCTTCCTCCTCCTCCTCTTTGTAGATTCTTGGAATGAAACTCAGGTCCTTCAACATGCTAGGCAACTATACCACCCAGTTGTCTCTAGTCCCCAGTGGTGATTATTGACTAAAGTATTTCATTCCAGTTTGCAAAATGTATTTTTTATTTTCTCATTCTTTTGGCATTTGTCGGCTTTCTGTCTTTACCTTGAAATACAATGCCAACTGGAAGTAGAATATATTCTCTCTCTCTCTCTCTCTCTCTCTCTCTCTCTCTCTCTCTCTCTCTCTCTCTGTTTTTTGTTTTTTGAGACAGGGTTTCTCTTTGTAAACCAGGCTGGTCTCGAACTCAAACATATCCACCCGACTATGCCTCCTGAGTGCTGGGTGTAAAGGCATGCACCACCACTGCCCAACTTAGAATATATTCTTTTTTTTTTTTCTTTGTGTTTGGGTTCTGTTTACTTATCTTTCAAAATTTCCCAGGTTTTCTTAGAATATATTCTTAACCTTTGCTTTTTACCTATGTGCAGACTTAAGGAGTCATTATAATAGTTACCTCAATAGTGGTTTGTGAGTTTTATTAGAGTATTTTTGTGATTTTTCTTTTCTTGAATATTACTATTTATACATTCAATGTGCACTGATCAGTCACCATAATTACTTTTTGAAATTCAAATTATCCCCAAACAAGCCAGTGACAGGTCCTTGAATTAGATTCCATTGTCCTTTTGGAACATCCCATAAACCACTAAATCTCTCTTGTTTTTTGTCACTCCAAGATGTACCAGGTTTTTCTTTTTGTATTCTCTCTGCTGTTATGGAAGCAGCCATCTATCTAAAGAGATGAGATAGCTTTTGGTAAGGGCTGATTTTAAACGCCATAATCTGGATGTTAGGGGTGATAATGGCTACTGAGGGGACCTTGTCTATGAGCAGAACCAGGATATTATGATACAACACACACACACACACACACACACACACACACACACACACACACTTCAACTAGTATTTACAGATTCATTTATTTATGTATTTTGTGTGTATGAGTGCTCTATTTGCATGTATGCCTGCATGACAGAAGAGGACACCAGATCCCATTATAGATGGTTGTGAGCCTCCATGTGGTTGCTAGGAATTGAACTCAGGCGCTGGATCAGGCACTAGAGAGTAGCCAGTGTTCTTAACCACTGAGTCATGCTTCCTAGCCCTCCAACTAGTATTTAATAATGATTTTTACTGAGCTTTCTACACTTACACTTCTTTTTTCTTATGCTGAAAACTTGGGCTCCTGGTTAACCACTTGTATGATTAATCCAATAAACACCCAACAATGTATACAGAATATTACAAATATTATCCTATCAATACAATACTGAAGGCTGGAGAGATGGCTCAGTGGTGAAGAGCACCTACTGTACTTGCAGAGGACTAGGGTTCAGTTCCCAGCACCCCTAAGGAGACTCACAACCATCTGCACCATACTTCCAGTTCCAGGGGGTCCAGTGCCCTCTTCTGACCTCTTCAGGCACCAAGCATGCATGTGGTGCATGCAGGCAAAACACTCAAACACTAAAATAATAAAACGATGAATACATGTTTTTGAGATAGGATCTTGCCTTGACTGGCATAGAACTCTCTATGTAGACAAGATTGGCCTTGAACTCATAGAGATCTGCTGCTCTGTCTCCCAAGTGCTGGATTAAAGGCATGCACCATCATACCCACCTGACTAAATTTTGCCTTTAAATGTAACTTCTAAGGATACATGATCAGAATACTGTGTCCTAGGATTATTTCAAACAGCTCTTCTGTTTGCATAATTGCGGTTGGCAATTTAACATATAATTAGACTGGTTT